TGACTCCAGCAGCTATTGTACTGCTTATCAGAACAAACAAAACCTTTTTAAGAGTGCAATACAGGCCAACTACGCAGCTGTAAAATGTCGGCCATGCTTCTATGAATATCATTATAAGACGTCATCAGTGACGTATACCTACATTTTTCAAATTCCAAGCGGCTGGTGTCAAACTCAGTTGGGATATAGTATAACTAGCAATACCGTACGCGTCTTAATTTTCGAGGTGTATTAAATTTCGTTATTTTCGTGCTCACCTTAAATCCACGAAATTTAAACCACCTCTAATGCCATTCTATTGTATGTAGACTATGGCCAGAACACGAAAATTAGCTCACACGAATATTAACTTTTGAGCAAATTTCATTGAAAACACGAAATTTTGAACCCTCGAAAATTTGGACGTATACGGTAACTATAACTACTCAATAAAAATACGGAAATATCCTGAATGTGACTCTTCAATTCTACGCCGTGATGAAGCAGGGGGTATATGCACAGTAGGACACTCTCTTCTATTATTATCTACTCTTGATCCTACTTATAGGCTACCGCCTATATAATAGATATTAGAGTAAATGAAAGGGATTGGAAACTTCCGCGTGGGCGTAGCAATCCCATTTGATTGTGTTGTTGCTAAGCAAAAAAATGCTGACTAGGCGGTTTGTTGCCTTTTGACCACAAAATTCTTGATTTTTTCCATTAAAAATAATAACTCCAAGAAGAGTGCTCTGATGAAAAAGAAACTCAATTATCAAGGAGTTCAATGTTTTGCACTGTTAATTATTATTTATTTGGTATATTTAGATTAATATTTTGAGTGTTATAGCGCTTTTGCCCATAAAATTGCTGTTTTCTCCCTCTAATGAAGACAATTGTAGCTAAACTCTAAAAAGCTTGTCAGAATATAAAAGAACTTTCAATTACCTATGGAATGATATGAGGCAACACTAGAATAGCAAAAGCATGAAAGCTGTAGAGGCGAAAAGGTGTCAAAAAAGATGCCGCCGACTTTGTGTACCCATAACTGGTCGAAAATAGCTTTATAGAAACAAAAACCCTGCTATAGGTAGCCATAAACTTTCTATGTGGAACAGAAGATATATCATAAGCAAGCGCTATCTAATAGTCGCACAATATTCCTTTGAAATCCTTTCTGCACAACAACTACTGTGGAGGAGATGGGGATTGGAGAATGCAGATAAACACGGACGTTGCCAACCAGGTAACCAGGGGTGACGAAAACTGCATCACCGGGCGGGAAAGGTAGTTTCCAATCCCTTTCATTTACTCTACTATCTATGTTTATAGACCTTTCCCGCGATGAATTATTCATGAGAATTCAAGTGGATTTACGAGAATTTACTAGAATTTATTCTAAATAAAGAGCGATTATGAGTCATCAAAGCATCACGATGACGAAAATCACGCCTACTTGTGGGACTGCAAAGACTATCTGAGGCTCTTAATCTTACTGCAAAAGCTTGATATGCTGAGATTTAACTTGAGAAGCTCAAATATCTGAACCTTTAGGATGTGTGCTTAGGCCTAGATTCCATTTTACAGGATTTGCAGCCTTGATCCACTAGCCTCCCTTTGAAAGTAGAGCTTAAGAGTCTTAACTGCTGGTTTTTCTCATCAGAATTATAGTATCTAACAATACAACAGTTATTTACCATTAAAAAATGGAAAAATACTAAGAGCAGCTGAAAAACCAGTCAATTTAGGTGCAAGATCCACTTTTCTGTCCCACTAGTAGGCGTGGTTTTCATCATAATGGTGCGTGATGACTCATAAATTCTTATGAATATTCATCGCGGGAAAGGTCTATACTCTAATATCTATGGTTCGATGTGTGTTTGCCGCGAAAATGGTGCCCTGTACAGCTCTCGTTTTTTGTGGGACTGTAACTCTTCGTCCAAGGTATATCAGACTCTATGATTCATTTTGTTGCTAAAAGATTGGTCTTTTAGGTGAGCTATTTTATTTACTATTTTTGTGAATTTTTTGTGATGTTTGGCTATCATTTGTGGTTGAAAAGCCCATTCTAGGTACCT